TTTTTTATTTAACTAAAAAATTGGCAGCATTAATTTAGTCCCAAAATGGTGGGACAATTAAAAAATTGAATCCTATTTTTATGTAAGATACATCTGATTTTTATGTGAACATTTAAATTCAACTTTCTTTCTCATTACATACTTCTAAAATGTTGGACTAAATTCAAATTTTAAACGAATTTAAAATGCATTAAAAATTTTTAAATATTCAAAAATAATTAAGGATGTGTTCAAGAATTTAAAAATCTCTACTTAATAGGTAACTTTATATCTACCCAAACACATGATTTCAGTTTTTTTTTTTTTTGTTCAAAATCAACAATGTTTCTAACAATTTTGTACTGAGTTTTTCAACAATTCCTTAACAAAATCGGCCTGAATTCAAATTTTGGACAAACTTAAAATGCATTTAAAGTTTTGTACAATATAAATTATAAAATCATTTCGTAAATGAAACATTTAGTTAGATTAAATTTTAAAAACATTCCTTAAATTAATGATTTTGTTCAACTTAAATTTTCAAAATTTTGAATTCAAAATCTCGGTTTACATGTTTTTGTTGTAATATAGATTGACAATATGTAAAATCTATGTGTAAAATAGACAAAGATAGAAAAAGTAGAAGAAGAAGAAGAGAATAAGAGAGAAGAGATACGCCGTTAAAACCATCATCTTATTCATTCACTTGAGCCCTATATATAAGGGAATATAATGTACATGAGTAAATACCTAATGGGCTCCTGGTCCATGCCTACAAATCCTATATCTAGGTAATGTCCACAACTTAATATTTACAACACTCCCCCTTGGACATTACCGCATCATGTCCATGCCTCGTTAAAAACCACGCTACAAAAACCCAGTGGGAAAATATAGTCGAGGAAAAGAGTACATGACACATGCAAATTTATGTGTTACACTTGTTGCCTCGTTAAAAACCTTACTAAGTAAAACCCAATGGGAAACAAACTTAGTCAAGGGAAAAAGAGTACAACACCGGCCAACAGGGCCTAATCTTCAGGATTATAATTAACCTTCTGGGTTCGATCTTCGAGATTTATTTATCGCTCCCCCTGAAGGGAAAACCTGTTTAGTTTCATTCCTCAATGTAAAAGTTTCTAACATAAAATCGTCATTTATTGCTCTTCGGGAGTTGATATAGATTCAAAAATATCATCGAATGTATTTATATAATTTATTTGTGTAACACAAACTAAGTTATCTTCAGGATAAATATGAAGAAATTTCAATAACCAATGGTAAAGAGTTAATACCATTTGAGAGGTATATAACCAATTGATGACCCATACTTCGGGGATCAATTATACAATTGATGTCATTATCCACCAATGTCATATATGAAGTCCAAAGATAACTCAACATACATGAAGAATAATGGGATATTCTCAATATTTATCACGATATCTCTCTAAGGAGAGATTTAGTAAATCTTGCTAGCAAATTCATCACAAATGCAGTATCAGGCCAGATGCAGTTTGCGAGATAAAAGTTCAGCACAATTGCGCTTGATAAATAAACTTCATGTCGTTTGTGGACTTCAAGTCCATTTGAACTCCAGGTCCTATAATATCCTCATTTGTTTCTTTGGATGTTTGTCAACTGCCAAATATTTGACACTCATTGGTGTTACAATTTTACATCTCTAAA